TCATACCCCTAATCAATGTTTTAAATGATTTTAAATGCTTTAAAGGGGGGAATACAAGTAGAAACAAACATGTTATTAAATCATTGGTATGTATTTTATAACTGTGGTTGTCATTTAAACAGATTTCACATACTACAAAATGTGATGCATGAAATGGTTTTAAATCTTAAAAATGCATTGTTATCTATTGTTTTATCTTTGAAATGTATATTAAAATGACATCAAGTCATTGTTAATCATTGTTCAAAACCCATAAGATGCCTTATAAAACCATTTTACATTATTGAACTAAACTATGCATATACACTTATATTCTTATATAGGTATTGATGTTATAGTTTATAGTTTTCATTTAGTTTCTCACACCCTTGAGTAGTAGGAGTGTATAAACCTACTTGAAAAACCAATTACCTTCCAGTAAATTATCATAGGGATAATGTGGAGATATCAAACATAATTCCTATTACAAGGAATCACACAAGAGTCAGTTCATTCATGAGTCTATACCAGTACATTACCTGATACATGAGTACCTTTACATTTGATTACATGATACATGAGTACGTTTACATATACTTACATGATACATGAATACCATACGTGAATACTGTTACTTAGATACATTATCCTGTACTCACTTATGTGGATACTTGTACCTAGAGTTATTAGGAAGATTTATTCGTATCTTCGGTGTAAATTTTCCTGCCTATCCCAGTTCAATGGGATGTCTATACGGGACTAACCATTCCGGAACCCAGCTGTTAGCAACATTGGGTGATGAACATCTACGGATGTCTAAGGTTGTTTCTGATATTAGGCGTCAGTTATGGAACTAACCATTCATCCATGTCCTGTTGCAACAAAGGATGAGATGAAACTCTTCGGATGATCATTAGGTTAACGTTGTTATGGGATTAACCCCCCCTTCCACCCTGCTGCCGCTACAGAGGGTGAGTGGACAAATCTTCGGACGTTCATTTGGTTATATAGGTCGTGTTAACCCTAGTACCTTGGGATAACAGTTACATATGATGTGTTAGTCCTACTACCTAGTGACAACACTTACAATAGTACATTTTCCTGTTTACTTTATTTTGTGATTCTTTCACATAAACGATGAGTTAGACTAAGTACTTTAGTACTAAACAATTAAAGGAAAAGACAAAACTACAAATTTGGTCCCTGTGGTATTCAAAAAAACTTTGGATAGGGTCCAAAATGTTTCTAACTTGCATGGAAAGTCCAAAATCAAAGTTTTACTGGGTTTTTGGTCCCTGATACACTTGAAAAGTCGATTTTGCCCTTTCCATTTCTTTTTTCTATTTTCTTTATTTATTGTGGTATTTAAATAATTAAGAATAAAAAATAAAAAATAAAATCTCACCCAACCCTCTCTCTCTCTCTCTCTCTCTCTCTCGTCTGCAACCAATACCACTCATATTTATTGCTTTTTTCTTCAACTTTCAGTAACACCGTTGTATCTTCCTCGCTCGCATCATCTCTCGACTCCGGCTGCGGTGAGGATTTTCTCAACAAAACCCTGAAACCGAAATGAAATTTAAAGGCAAGATATTGATTTCTCAACAAAACTTTGTCTCCGTGTTCCTCCATCTCGATTCAGGAATATCAATTGCCAAATATACAACACTATCATCTTCTTGAAATCTCCAATCTATTTTTTTAATCGATTTTTTATCTGGAAGCCTTGAAATTTTGGAATCGAGTTTTGAACCAATTTCTATTCGTCGGGGCTCTATGGGGGAAGATGAAATCTAGAGTTGAGTTACATAGTAAAATCGGAGGTTCAAGAACATGCAGATCCAAAATCAGAGGTCCAAAAAAAGGGATTTTTAGAAGAAATCAAGGAATCTGTGTGTATATATGTTCTTGTGAGTTTCAAAATTAGACTCCAAGAAATTTGCTGTTGCTGTGTTTCTTATGTTTTTCCACCATCTTCTTCCATCTCGATTGTTGTTGCAAGACACAAAGGGAATGAGGCATCGGAGCTGTTATCGCTTGCCACCCGTCACCGACCACCACCTTGTTGTTGCCACTGCTGTGAACAATCGCCACCTCCGAATGCTGCTTCTGTCGACCCTCTCTGTCCAGCCACCACTCTAATTTGAAGGTGATTGCCTTCCCCCTCTTATTTGCTTCGTCCGATCGAGACAAGAGACTCACTGTGATGAGATTATTTCCAATCGATGTGGGTGTTTTGCGTTAGAATGTGTGTGTCTTTGCGTTTGGGTTTCAATTTCTTTCTATTGCTTGATTTTGGATTTTGTTCTTCAATTTGGGGATATCAGAGATGAATTCCATGAGATTCTTGAGAAGACGAAAGGAGAGAGAAAGAGAGAGAGAGAGAGAGAGAGAGAGAGAGCGAGAGAGAGAGGGGGGTGGGGATTCTTTTTTTTCTTTTTTCTTTATTTTTTAATTAAAACAGCATTAGAATAATTATAAAAAATACAAAAAAGAAAATAAAAGGGTATAATCGTCTTTTTAAGTTTTTTTGGACCAAAAACCTAGAAAAACCTTGATTTTGGACCTTCCATGCAAGCTGAAAACTTTTTGGACCCCATCCAAAGGTTTTTGAAAACCACACGGACTAAATTTGCAGTTTTGTCAAAGGAAAACTATCATTTTACTTACAAAACATTCGGGTCTTGGTAGAAGACTACATCTCAAACTAATAGGAAATAAGGGATTTTCTAGGGTTTTTCATACGTACATCAATATTTTCATTTAACGATTTACATGGCCTTTATAACAGATTTTCACAAAACAAGGCAATGACACTTATATACTTATGAATTCACCAGCTTTAAAGCTGATACTCGCTTTCAAAATAACTTGTATTCTCAGGTCATCAGTAGACAGGTACGGAGGTCAGGTTTTGAGAAGACGGAGCAGACAAGTATCGTCTTTTATTTTGATTGTATATTTTTGGTGTCTTACTACAATGAAAGAAACACACATGTATTAAAACTTTACTTATAATGCAATGGATGATGTTGCTGCTTGTTTATTATATTACACTGTTGTGATACTGTACATGACGTCCTCCACCCCTGAACGTTTCCGCCGTTCGTGGTTTTGGGGTGTGACACGAATGGTCAAGCAGAGGTTTCGAATCGTGAAGTGAAGTCTATTCTAGAGAAAACAGTGAATCCGACAAGGAAGGATTGGAGTTTGAGACTTGACGATGCCTTATGGGTCTATCGGACTGCGTACAAGACCCCGATAGGAATGTCCCCGTTTAGGTTGGTCTTTGGAAAGCCATGTCATCTTCCCATCAAGTTAGAGCACCATGCATTTTGGGCGGTCAAGCAATGCAACTTCAACATTGACGAGGCGGGAAGGCATAGGAAACTTCAACTCCAAGAGCTAGAAGAATTGAGAAACGACTCCTATGAAAATGCAAGGATTTACAAGGAGAAAACGAAGCTCTTCCACGACAAGTCCATCTCCCGGAAGCATTTTGAAGCGGGCTTAGGGTCTTACTATACCATTCACGATTAAAGTTATTTCCAGGCAAGCTAAGGTCAAGATGGATTGGACCTTTTGTTGTGATTAAGACCTTTGACCAGGGGGCGGTGGAAATTCAAAGCGAAAAGACGGGACAAATTTTCAAAGTCAATGGGCACCGGTTGAAGCCATTCTATGAAGGTTTCAGTGGTAATGCCCTTGAAATCATCTATTTGGATGTCCCGATGTGTTGAACAAAGCTAGGAGAACGTCTCGCCAAAGATGTTAAAAAAGGGCATTTTTGGAAAGCAATGTGCTTTCACCATTTTTTAAATTCAAATAAACCATTTTGCAAAGCGTTTTTATAGGATTCAAATAAATTTTTGAAAGGTTTCACCAATCGTTCCCCGTTTTACTCCAAATTTTGTCAAATTTTCGATACCGGGCCTTAAGGGGATCGTTTTGGCTTAAAAATAAAGTGTTTTGGAAAACTCTTATTTTTGATGTGCAGGAGTACCCGCGGCCCGCGTGGATTTTAGGCTTAAGGCATTTGCGGCCCGCGTAGGTCAAGGTCATACTGGGGAATAGCACCTGCGGCCAGCCCGCGGCCCGAGCCCAGCCCGCGTGATGATTCGAAGCACTTAGATTTTTTTCGTGACCATCCAGTTCACACGGCCAACCCGCAGCCCGCGTGAAACCCACACATAAGTCATTTTTTTAGCTGTTGGATCTGCTGTGTTCGAGGATGCTAGATGCGGCCAGCACGTGGCCCGCGCCCAGCCCGCGTGTTGGTCGTTTGACTGATGTTTTGAGTTGTTGACTGCCTTGACTTTCGTTTACCAAGAGATTTAATGAGTTGACCAAACATTGACCAGGTTTGACCTTCCTTGACCAAAGATTAAACACCTCCAGCACCCTTCTTCTTCATTCTAACCTAACAATTCCTCCATTCTCTCTCTAGAAACTCAGGAACACTAAACCCACTTCTCCCAAAAATCCATTTTCCCAGAGTTCTACCGGTCGGAATCTCGCGAAACCACTGCCATTCTTCTCCATTTTTCATCCTCTACAAACCCCACCCAAATTCCGGTCCGATATGTGGCCGGAATTCTGGGTGCCAGCACCACCTTCTTTTGCGTTTTCCAGCCAACTACGGCCACCATTGGAGAGACCGAGCATGGGGTTTTGTTTCTCTCATCAAGAGCTTTCTAGCCATACCAATCTTCCCCTAAAAATTCACGAAAAATTTCCGTCTAATTCCGTGTGCCGTTACTCCGTTCGCCGGAAAGTCATCTTGAAGCTTGTTTGTGGGGATGTTTTAGCGATTAAAGCGTCAAATACGGAGCAAAATTGCAAGCTTGGGGTATATCTTGACGAAATCTTTTTGGTGGCACTAGTTCATCTCGGGTCTAAGAAATTGGGTAACCTCATTCCTTTAAATTGATTGTTCACATCCCAATTTCCCATTTGTTGTTAGTATTGTGTGCCTTTGATGTGGCTGAAAGTTATTATTAGTAAAATTTTGTCCCGAATAAATGTCAAAGCGTGCAAAAACGGGGATGGGAGCAACTTCCTCTAAAGGAGGGTCGAAGGGAAAATCCAAGGATCTCTCGTTTCGTTTGTTGAATCGCGAGGATCGTAAAACTTATGATTTTCTCGTTTCAAATAAGCGTCAAGTCAAGTCAACAAAATTCCTCCATAGGGAATCTTTTGCTAGAGTTGGGGTGCTCGATGGAGTCCAAGCGTTATTTAACAACATCGGGTGGGGTCAATTCCTCTATAACCGTGCCGCCACCTATGTTGAACCCACCTTGGAATTTCTTGCCACATTCAATCCCGAGGAGGAAGCCGAAACTGTCACCTTCCAAATGCTCGGTGAGAAACGATCCCTGCCACATCGGGTCTTGAATGCCCTGATGGGCACTCCAGTGGACAACCTATATTACCAACAAGACCTATGGCCCGGAAACTTCAATGAGCATCACTTTTGGCACCAAATTACCAACGAGCCACAATATTCATCGTCTTCGTCAAAGCCCTCCTCCATAATCCACCCATGTTTGTGCCTAGCGCATAGAGTTCTCACATGCACCATTTTCGCCCGCTCCGAAGTGGGACAAATTTCAAAGGAGGAATTATTTTTTCTTTGGTGCATGACTCATGAGAACGGTCCGCGGCCGGATTTTGCCTCCTTTTTCTTCACCAAGTGTTACAACCTCACAACTATGGACAAAGGATACATTTTTCATTGGGGGATTAATCACCCTCATTGCATCTCAGCCACCGCTTCAACTTCATCTCTCTACTCTTCCATTCGAGAAGGCTTCCGGCCCCTCTAGTATTGAAGGCAACGCACTTCGCCAAATGCAACTCATCCGGGATTCGGTTGTCGGTCCCATGTGGATCCTTGACAACCAACCATACCTCATTCTCCCCCATGAGTATATAGGGAGTTTTGAGCCGACCGATCCCGATCAATGGATCATTCCATCAGACTACCCTCCACCTGTAGATGATGAGGATGACCAGTTTCAGCCTACAAGCACTTCGTCGAGCCTCAGTTTCAGCCGCAGCAGCAAAGGGGACACGAAGTCCCACCATATTTCCCCCTACGTTCTTTGACCAATTTGCCACAATGTTCTCCACGGTGTAGCGCATTGATACCCAAACGCAAGAGAATACGAGATCCATCCAAGATGTGGCGAGTCACGTTGATTAATTGGAGCAGTCCTTCCCTCCCATTTCCTGCTAGGTCCAAGATATATGGGACTACCATTATCGTCACGGGCATTTCCCGCCGCCCGACCCACTGATTTAGGTCCTTTCCGCCCTTTCCTTAAGCATTGAGGATAATGCTTGTTCTTAAGCTTGGGGTGGGGCATTTCCCTTATCTTTTACTTTTTCATGCATTTTTAACTAGGTTGCATAACATTTTAGTATTAAGCTAATTTTCATTCATTTTTTTATTTATTTAAAATTTCAAAAAGATTTTATTTTCTTCTTTTCCACTTTTTATTTTTGCATAACATTTAGCTTAAGGCATTAGCATTCATGCATTTTTGTTGTCTATTTATTCTCACCTCTCTTGGATGCCATGGAACAGGTTCACAGTTATTGTATCATTATTGGTCCAGGATCTTATTGCTATCTCACCCATCGAACCGGGACCACTAGCTGCAGTTTGGGATTTCATACTTGGGATCAGATGTTGGTAGCTTAAAGGGGTAAGTGATCATGGCCAGGTAGTTTCATGAAGAATTATGCATACAATACTAACAACTATAGGATATACTATAGCAATGGGTGTTCTTAGCCTTGCGGTCACTACCGCGGAGAGGATCACACTTGATCATGTTTGAACTGTTAGGATGAAGCATTGGTGCTTGTCCCCGAGTAGAATCCATATCCGGTCTCTTTACATCACCATATATTTTTGCGATTTTCTTAGAATTTTAGAGAGTCTTTTAGTCCACATTTGGACATTTTCATTATCCTTGAAAAACCACAAGTTTGAAAAGGAGCTTACATTACATCTTTATGCTCCACACATGGTCATTTTCACACTTAGGCCATTCGGATTATATCATTACCCTTTCGGTTCCACTTACACACCTTTGGGAATCAAATTTTGAGTCAAAGGATTTTCTTGTTAAAAAAATTTCGATAGTTAATACATTACCTTCATGTGTTTCATCAAAAAAAAATAAACAAAAAATAAACAAAAAAAAAAACAAAAAAAAATAAACACAAAAAAAACAAAAACAAAAAAAAAACAAAAAACAAAAAACAAAATGAAGCACGCAAAATTTCAGTTGCAACTATCTTAGATAGGTGGCCGGTTCAATTATTGAACAAATTTCCCAACATCTTGGTCACCCGGCGTTTGATATTCATTTGTATAGGTTTGTTTTATTATATATAGATCGAGTTGTTATTTTTTTTCTTTCTCGCAAATTGGTGATGTTAGGGAGACTGGCGAGTCGGATACTACGGGAGGTTTGGGCCAACACTAAGTGAACTGATTCCTACAACGGTGCCCGAGCGATTAAACCTAGTTACACATGAGAGAAACCGGTATATGTGAGATCAGAGTGTGCACTTAAAGAAGAGCTCCACCCGAGCCCATCCAGTTGCTTTCTCCGTACTATATATGTTCTTCATTGTATGCATGTTCCATTGAGGCTACAACTGCTCATCCCTCCTTACTCACCTAAAGGAGTTGTCCTGGCTGTGGTTTATGGTTCCATTGTCATCGGATGAAAAAGTTGTGAGATAGCAGCGAAATCAATTATGACCATGTTGACTAACATCGAACAGGTTCCATGGTTCTATCCATTCTTTTTATTTCTAGGGTAGTTCGTTCCAAGTTCATTTAGTCTTATCTTACTTGAGGACAAGTAAGGTTTAAGCTTGGGGTGATTTGATAGCTTCATTTTATTTACTTATTTTTATAGTTTATTTTAGTACATTTCATTTGCATTTTAGTTAACTTCCATGCATATTTTCCCTTTTGTTATTTTTATAACCATTTCAGGGTACTTTCTAGTTTCTTGAGCATTATTGCAGATTTTCTTGGAAACTAGCGGGGCGACACTCTTGGGAGGCAATTGGGCTTGAAGGGAATTGGGGATTTCGTGCTTGATGGCTATGAAGGTGATTCATGGGGTGGACTTGTCAATTGCTTGAAGGCTTGGAAGAATTGAGCTTTAAATTTGAAAGACGCGGGAGAATTCTTAAGTATGCAAGATCAATATTTGGGAGTTTGCGGAACTTTTGAGTGATGTGGATAGACAAATTGGGCTTTAATTGAAGAGATATTGAAGAAAAAATGGGCTAGGAGCTGATTGGATTCGAACTGGGCCAATGGATTTGCTGTGGGGGCCCAAAACTTGAAGAAGCCCAAAAATGCCGTCAGTACCAGCAGCCCACGTAAGATTCCCCGCGGCCCGCATGGATTCCTGTCAAGGGCAATTTCGGGATTTTGCTAAGAGCTCTATATTGGGAAGGTTGGTGTGCCTCTTTAGCCTCATCTTGAAGGTCCAAGTTTGGCTTGTTCTCTCTGGAGTTTGGAGTGTTTTTGAAGGCCAAGAACATCTTGATTTCACCTCTTGATTATTGTAAAATGGTTGGTACAATCTCATCTAACTTTTCTTCTTTGAGTTTGGTCATGCTTGGCTAAACAAATCTTGGTTAATTTCTTGTTGAATCCTTTGAACTTTTGTTGAATGTTGAAGAATCCATGAACTTGTTCTTAAATCTTTATGGAAATGTTTTGTGTTTGATCATATTATCACTACTAGTATGTTTTTATTCATGAGTTTAAATGTGTTTGTGGTGATTAGTCAGTTAATTTCTTGATTAAGTAAAGGATCCTCAAATTAGTAAGCAACAAATGATTTTTGTGTTGTTTTTTCTTCACACAATCTTAAAAACATCTCCTCCAACATGGTGGTGAAAGCATTTGACTCCTCTTGGATTTGGTGACTTTTTGGTTCTTAATGCTAGTTCACTTTCACTAATTACATGCTTAATGGAAATTGTGACTTTGACTAACGAAATTGTTAAGAGCTTCTCTAACCATTTTAACAACTAAGAAAAGTCTAGGTAATCTCACGCTTCTTGGATTTTTATAGCCAAATTGAGGATTTAAATCAAAGTATTGCACCATTGTATTCTAATGATATGTTCATCAAAAGTCAAAGTGAGGAAACTTTAAGTCAACCATCTCTCCCTTATTTATTTTACATAAGACTCTTATTTTTGTTGCATTTGTCTATTTAAATCATAGTTAACTCTAGTTTGTTTCAAGTATTTCAAAACACCAAAACCCCCCATTTTATTTTTATTGTCATTTTACAAGTATTTTTACAAAGAGATTTTTCATAGAGTTATAAATTGAACCAATCTCCGTGGATTCGATCCCTTTACCGCTATACACTATTTTAGTATGTAATATTTAGGGTTATTATTTGTGTTGGCCTCGACAACCACCAACCTGTGATATAAATAAACTGAGTGGGTCAGGTTGGGAAACTTGGTGAGTACATAGGGTTCTTAACCCACAATAATATAATTATTATGCTTAAACACTCAAACAATCAACCCAATTACCCATCCCCATTATCTTCTTTACTCCTAAGGATTTAACCTAAGAGTCATCTATCCTGCATTTGTTTATTCCGAAGTCCCTTACTTCCAGGGTCATAGGACTAACACTAAATCCATAGCTGTCAATGTTCGTTCGTAAAGCACTAATTCCATAGCTACTATAGTCTACTCATCGGGTACTGAATCCATAACTACCAGTGTTCATCTAATAGGTACTAAGTCCATAGCTACCAATTCCTGACAGGTACTAAATCCATAGCCACCAGCGTCTAACTAGTAGGTAGTAAGTCCATAGCTACCAATTCCTAACAGGTACTAAATCCATAGCTACCAACGTCTAACAGGTACTAAATCCATAGCTACCGGTGTTTGTCCAATAGGCACTAAGTCTATAGCATAGACAGCAAATATTCAGATAATATGCACACATAGCACGTAGTTTATATAAAATACTTCATATCTATGTGTAAGATGAAAGGGACTATGCACTCACCTGAAAGGTGGTGACTTAGTACTCGAACAGTGCTTCGATACTCTCAAAACAATTTCCTTTGATAAAACCTAGTACCAATACCACTACGGTTTAGTCTAACGATAACCGCGACAAATTAATTAGTCTGACTATTATTATTATTATATAAGCATTAATAACACTCAATATAACTCATAATAATAGCCCAAATAATTATTTAAAGACCCAATGACATTCCTATAATTATTTGAAAGCTATATTAAAAATTGTGTAAGCGTAGCACACTTACAACGAATTTTATAAAAAACCGGAACTTATTTGGAGCAGCGTTTAGAAACCGAAAGACACTTTTTCTCGGGACTCCGGGAGCCTCGGGGCTTCCCTCGGGAGCTAAGGGGTTTAACTAAGGCTTAAGGGGTTTAGAAACCCTAGAGAGTGAAAGAAATCTAGAGAGAGAAAGAAATTGGTGTGTTTTTCTCGGCAACCCTCGCAGCCTATTTATAGGCACGAGCCTTTGGAGGTACGTTGGGCGTACAACAGCATTACGATGCGCGTAGGGGCAGGTATCTCGCTCCGGGTGGGGCGACGTGGGCATTCTTTGGACCACACAAGAGAGGAGAACATTGGGCGTTCCGAGATGCGTACGCAGGGCGTATCCGAGGTCTACGTGTCCGAATCCGAAGACCAGACCGTGATCCGCAAGCTACGACCCTGATCGAGCCACGTCATCACCCATTGCACCAACTTTGCAAATTCGAGTTACAACTTCAAAAATTCGTAACTTTCGCATACAACCTCCATTTTCGACGTTCTTTATATCCACGCGAAGGTGGGAACGTACTTTACAACTTTCGTTTCGACTCTGTCGGCTAATTTTGATTCAATTTTAAATTTTATATTATTAACAGGCCGGGACAGTATTGGTCCGTTAAATCCTCATAACTTCTTCATCTGGCATCCGTTTTCGTCCATCTTTTTCTCGTTATGTTAATTTTAACGAGATCTTGGATTCTCGTTTAGGTCGTGTTGGCTAAAAATAGCT